ACCGACACATATGTTTTACCGGTCCCCGGAGGACCTTGGACAATGGACAGTCGCTTGGTCAGCATGTTATGGAGGGCTTCCCATTGGGTTGCATCACGATCCCCAATCGGCACCGATGGCCATCCTGCAAGCAGGTCAATTCGACTGTCTTCCTTGCACTCCCCGAGGATAGCCTGGAGATCGACGAGAGGGTTGCATTTCACATATGCGGGTGGCTCGATCTGAGGGTCAAGTCGGCATATGTGGTTGGATAAAGGGAAACTGCACATCATAGTTAAACACCGGACATGAGATGGAAGAATACAAGGTTACTTACCTTTCCTGGTCAATCTTCTGCAAAGCCGTCATCGTGTGTCTAAACGACTCAAAGTACCCATCTTTTGCCTCGACCATAAGCCACTCTTTCTGGGGGTCGAACTCGATATCCTCAGGCTTCGCGAAAAAGATGTCTATCTGCGGAGGCTTCATCTTCACACTCTCCAGAGCCCTGCTCGCTACCACACCGACGACACATTGCGTCCGAAAGAAATCGTCTACGGGGGAGAGCGCGAGAAGAGATCCAGTGATTAGGCGCTTTGAGTACTCCCAAGCGATATTCTTCCCGGCTCGATGTGTAGAAAACTGAATCCGAAACCCCAGTCCCTTCGGGGAGCAAGTGACACCGATAATGTAGACCTGAACGATCGTAGACATAAGCCAAGCTCCAGGACCCCAGACACGCAGCGCTGGCTCACGAGATCAGACATACCTTCTCGTAGATCGAGGCGACTTTGTTCTCCATCATGTCCGGATGTTCGCGCACATGTGCTACGGCATCCCGCAGCGGAGCAACGGCATCCTCTCGCAGCAGCTCATAGTGGGCTTTGAGGTACGCGTGCTCCGACTCCCACGGACCAAAGATGTTGTTTGGGGCTAGGTCCACGAAGTTCTCGTCGTCTTCCTCCTCCGCGATGCCCATGATCTCCGCTGAAGAAGGCAGCTCTGGGCGATTCAGCCATGTCTCCGAGGATTCGGGTCTGGAAGGGAGGAGATAGTTTCTGATCTCGGGACAGGCATGGTTCTTTTTCGCTGAAGGGACCTCTGCCGGCTCAGGGAGTTTGCTTGTGTGTAAGAAAAGCCCTCGTTTCTGCTTCTTGTGCTTCATGCTGTGGGTTGTTTGTCGAAAGAGGGGTTGGCTTATGGAACACTCGTGTTGACCGGGTCTGTTGTAGGTGGTAAGGATGAGGGTGCTAGCAATTGCGTGTTAGGCCTCTAGATAATCCGAGGGTAATAGGTTGGCTTGCTTGGCAAATTCAAGATCATAGGTCTGTGTTATGCTGGGAGTGGTTCTTGACTGACAATGAACTTTCTAGGATAGCCAGGAAGTGATGTTATGATATGCGTGCGTAATTCTTAACGACCAAAACAATTGTGCTCTAAAGAGAGAACGAGGACTTCCGACCCAAGTAGTTCGTGTGCAAGTTTAAAAGAACAAGCTAAGCTGCCCTCAATTTGAGCCGGTGCACTCTTAACGGAAGAATTTCCGTTCACTGTAAAGCCAAAGCAAATAAGAAAATAGCTCTGGCTTCCATAGTCAATGCAGTGACTTGTTCTTGTTCAGCAAAGAGGTTTGGCCTGATTCACACAATGGAATACGACTAGCCTAAGCCCTCCAGCTCTATGGCTTCCTTCACTTTTTTTTTTTTTTTTATCAAGAGAGCAGCTTTCATTTCGACGCGATTGCAATCACCAGATCTAGGTATGATTTATATATTTTCAAAAGAGTTTGTTTGTCTTCCAGACAAAGCAGTGAATATAACAGTTCTTAAGCACTCATTGATCGATGCAGACGAACTGTGGGTTACCCAGTCATCCTAGAAGCATAGCTAGGTCGTTGTTCGTTTGCAGGAACAACAATGCCGGCAAACAGATAGCCCCAACGAAGATCTAGGCCATGGGTGTATGGAGGTATAAAAGCGTGCCACATGGCATTGCTTTGCAAGTTGGGCCACAGCAATTTTCTCGGAAAAACATCCCACCCTTCTAACTCCACAGAAATAAGCAGGACACGAAGAAGCCGCTGCCAGCAAACAACCACAACCTTCATCATGGATCCATCATCGAAGTATGCCCTGTCGAAAAGTGTTAATCCGGGGAAAGATTCCGCTAACCGTGTTCGGCATGCCTTTGCAGCCTCCACACTCAGGCATCAACTAGGCGGTCAGCCATGCTCGCCCCGGGGAAAAAGGTACAGCCATGAGCCATCACCAACTGATCGCAATCTTCAGCCTATATCGCAGCACTTTATATTTGGGGACGTCAACGGAGGTGCTGATACAATTCGACCTATAATACCGAGAAATGTGCTCTCGAAGACCATTATATACCGGCAACATTCACCGAAACTAGAACAGTACAATGCGCGCATGGCATGCGACTCCAATAACCCCGATTCATTGACCACTTATTGAAGCCCCCACCCTACGCCCCGACAAGGGTTCTAGCAACCCCAGCCGTGCATACACCCTATACTACTGGCAACTACACACTCGCGCTGCCGCTCAGTCGCTTTTCTTCACGTATAGCTATAATCTCCGGCTTCCAGTCGCAAAATGGCCTCCCTCGCAGGAGATGACGACGATCGCGATCTTGCTGGTAAAGACCTCCCCCTCCCCCTCCCATGACCTCTTTCAGCAGCATTCAACTAACACATTCCCGCGGAAATAGGCTCCCAAGACGGCAGCTCCGACAATGAGATGGACGATACGCTCCGAGACGCAGACGACGGGATGAACGACAACGAACCGGACGCCGACGCCGAAGACGCCGACCCCGATGCGGAAAGCCAGTCCAATGTGTCCGAGAGCGCGGGGATCGCGACGCAACAGAATCAGGACGTGGAGATGACGTCGCCGAGGGCTGCGAACGTCGCGTCTCCGGTATCGGTATACCACCCGCCGGTGCGACCGGAGTGCCTCACGGCCTCGACGTTCGACATCGTGCCCACGACGGCGGCCCCGCACAGCACCTCGATTAACGCGGTCACGGCCACGGCGGATATGCGATGGGTGTTCAGCGGGGGCTCGGACGGATACGTGCGGAAGTTCAACTGGGTGGACTCCATCAACAGCAAGCTGATGCTCACGGTCGCGCAGCGGCACCCGTTCGTGGACAGCGTGATCAAGGCCGGCGTGCTGATGACCTACTGGGAGAACATGGATGGGAACACAATCTCGCCGGTCTACTCGCTGGCGAGCCACAGTGAGGGGCTGTGGCTGCTGTCCGGTCAGGAGTCAGGCAACATCCGCCTGCAGTCCGTCCGCCACGAGGAGGGCAAGGAGATCGCTCTCCTGCAGCAGCACACCTCGGCAGTCTCGGTGCTGACCCTGACATCCGACGAGAAGTCCCTGCTGTCGGGCAGCTGGGACAAGCGGATCTTCGACTGGGATCTGAACACCGGGCAGACGCGCCGCGCGTTCGGGGCGAGCGCCGGGCAGGTTTCCGCGATAGAGATGCGCCCGGAGTCCAGCCTCCCTGTGCCGAAGGATGTCGTCGAGCCGCCACAGCCGAACGGCACGTACTCGTCAAACTACCACGCGGCAGGCGGGGAGAATAGCTTCGAGTTCATGGACACCTCCAACGACCAAGGCGACAGCGGTGCTGGCCCGGACCCGCAGGCGGGCTCGCCAGCGGACTCGCTCTTTGGCGGCGCCGACTCTCTGTTCGGCGACGCCGACGGGGCCGGCGGAGACGAGGCGGGCGGATCAGGCAACGCATTCGGCATTGACGAAGATGACGAGTTTGGCAAAGCACTCACGAACGGAGTGCCTCCGGAGGCCGATGCCCCCGGCGAGCCGGAGACGAGCCACAACGAGGCGGCAGAAGCAGCACAACCACCACCACCACCACCACCACCCCCAGCGCCCGCAGATGCCGTTACCGCGCCCCCCGACCCGAACGCCATGGACCAGGCGCCGGATACGACCGAACCAGCCCAGTCCAACGGCGCTCCCCGGCCTGTCGTCAACGGCCTGCCTCACGCGGAGGAGATCGAACCGACCGCGCAGAGCACTGCCTTCAGCGAACCGGCACAGCCCGAACACACGCCCAGCAACGACAACACCTTCCTGGGGGCGTCGATGGACGGTACGATCCGCATCTGGGATCGACGGCAGCCCGACCCGGTGGCGCGGATCATCCCGCGCAATGCTCCTCCATGGTGTATGAACGCCTGCTGGTCCCCGGACGGGAACTACATCTACGCGGGCCGGCGTAATGGGACGGTGGAGGAATACAGTCTCCACAAGGGGCTGCGGGATCCGGAACGGACGTTCAAGTTCCCTCATGGGAGTGGGCCGGTGACGGCGCTGAGGGCGATGCCTAATGGCCGGCATATTGTCTGGTAGGTTTGGTCTGTTGATGTGCAGGCTGGTCAAGCTGACTGAGATGGTGTAGTGCATCGCATGATATTCTTCGACTTTACGACCTGAAGCATGAACAGGTGACTCGACACTCGACGGTACCCTTCCTCATTATCCCTGGGCATCGGACGGGTACGGTGTCGCAGCTGTATATCGACCAGGCGTGTCGGTTTATGGTGTCAACGAGTGGGAACCGGGGATGGGAGGGGAACACGACGGAGGTGTTGTTGGGGTATGAGATAGGGGTGCCTCGGTGATGGATTGGGGATGTGGAGAGGAGTCTTCACTGAGAGAAGAGTGATTGCTTGGAGTGTGCGCAGTAGCTGGTCCCAGCTGCATACTATTCGACAATGCCACACTATATTACTTACAGACCATAGATATGGCAAATCAACGATCACAACAGTGCCTACCATCTTGCTTTTGGAAGTACACTTCATCCCAAATCCATTGCTAGAATATAGTGTTAATCTATAGCATCAACTCATCACAACACACATTACGCCCACACTGAATAGAACCCCCCAACCCCAAGTTCATAAATCATAACCATCATAAACAAAAAAACTACCCGGTGAACTCCAACCACAGGAAACAAACTCACTCATAAAACCCCTCAAACCCAACCCCCGGACAAACCCCCTCCACCCCGCGCCTCCACGCCCCATACAACTCATTCCCCTCCCACCGAACCCTCCCATCCACCTCCGTCTCAAAAACCACATACCCAGGCCCCACCCCAGCCCCAGTATCCTCCCCCTCGTCCCCAATACCACTACCCACCCCAGCAACCCCCCTAACCAACCCCCCAAACCCACCATCCCGAACCTCCCGCCGCATCACATGCCCCCGCGCCTCCACCTGCCCGACACTCCCCACCCGATTCACAGTGACCAGATACGCCCCGTCCCCGGGCAAGACCCTCTCCCGATCCGGGCGCAACGGCACCGCCATCCAGGCGGGATTATTGTACGAGTCTGGCCGGGCAGGATCGTGTTTTCCGGGGAGTGGGTGCGAGAGCAGCACGGCGTCGAGGTTGGTGACGTCGGTGACGAGGCCCGGGGTCTGGAGGTAGAGGACGCTGTCGTAATTGACGAATTGCATTTGCCCGTGGCGGAGGAGTTGGGTGTCTGTTGTTTGTGTGCCTGGTGGGGAGGAGGTGTCGATGGGGAGGAGCCAGATGCTGTTGGCGAGGGCGGCGGTGCGGAGGTGGGTTAGGGCTTGGGTTATGGTTGAATGCTTGCTGTTGGTGGTGCTGGGGGGGTGGGAGGGAGTGGATGGGGCATAGAGCTGGTCCCATTCGCGCGGGTACATGAAGAGTCGGTCTTGGATGCGGGTGCGGTTTGTGGGGTCCGGGGCTGCAGTTAACGAGTGGAAGAAGAGGATCGCGCTGCAGATGTGGCTTGGGTCTGGGCGGGTGAGGAGCTGGAGGTACGCGTAGGTGCCTTGCGCGGCGGGAATGGAGTCTTGGTCTGAAGGGGTAAGCGGTTTTTGCTGAGTTGGTGGTGTGTTGAGGAGGAGGGACTGGTCCTCGTTGTGAGGGGATAGCTCCGGCGCGCGGATGGCGTGTTGGATGTTGCGGACGGATTGTTGTTGGAGGACGTAGCCGGACAGGAAGAGGAGGAAGGTGAAGGTGCAGATGATGCCGGAGGAGATGATCACCGAGACGGTGGAGGAGGTTAGGAGGACCATTGCGATTGCGATTGCGATTGCGATATCAACCACATGGGCTGGAGCGGAGGTATGTACAGTATGAAGTATGGTATGTGTATGCTGGTTGATAATGCTAATGCGGGGGAGGAATGGTAGCGTTTGTACTGGAATGGGTATGCAGTCACGAAAAGATAGAGTTATAAATAACCTTTCACCAGGCACATCCCTTCTCACACTAAGTAGTAGGAGTACCCATAATCATTGCCTCATCGTTGATAGAATCATCGGCGCATAATATAAACACCGACTTAGCTCATGTTTCAGAGGAAGAGTGATTTCGTTGTCCGCGCGACAATCGATAAGAAAGAAGGCTTGGCAAGGGAACTTGCGCCAAGAACCAACTCCGAACATCCTCAACTTTCCACTTCCCTTCCTCTCCTCTTACCTTACGCCCCCCGCACTCTTTCCCTTTCCCTCTCCCTCTCCCTTCCCCTCGTCTTGACTTCGCCAGAACCAAAAGATGACTCACCGCGCCGACGCATCCTCCTTCCTCGACAACCGAGGCTACACCGGCCCGCTGATCCGGGGCGTCAACCCGGCGACGCTCTTCGAGAAGGCGGTCCGCGACCGCATCACCGACTCCTACTACTGGAAGGAGCAATGCTTCGGCCTGAACGCGGCCACCCTGTGCGACCGCGCCGTGGATCTCACCTGCATCGGCGGCGTATACGGCGTGGCCGAGAAGCCCACCCCGTTCCTGTGCCTCGCCTTCAAGCTGCTCCAGCTCAACCCGGACCGCGACATCATCCTCGAGTATCTGAACTTCACCGATCCAGACACAGAAGATCCCCCGACCTACAACAACCCCAACGGGAATAACGGTGGGAATCACGATGGGGATGATGATGGAAGCGGCGCGGTCGTCAAGGCGCGGGGCGACTTCAAGTACCTCCGCGCGCTGGCGGCGTTCTACGTGCGGCTAACCTTCCCCGCGGCGGATGTCTACAAGACCCTCGAGCCGCTGCTGCTTGATTACCGGAAGTTGAAGCGCCGGGTGCGCGACTCGTTCACCCTGACGTATGTGGATCAGTTTGTCGATGAGCTGTTGACCAAGGATCGTGTCTGTGGTACGAGTCTGTGGAAGTTGCCGCCGCGGCAGCAATTGGAGGATTTGGAGTTGTTGGACGAGCGGGTGAGTCCGCTGCAGGCGGAGTTGGAGGAGATGGAGAGGAGTGATGACGAGGACGACAAGGAGGAGGGTGAGGAGAAGGATGATTGAAGGGGAACTTTTCTATTTGCTGTCATCGATGGATGCATTGATGCGGACGAAGGAAAGAGAAGGCTTTACATGCCTGGTTAACTCATGCAGGCTAAGCCGGCTGGCGGCCACCTGGGATAACCTAGTGGGTACTCCGCGTTTAAGGAATGCTGGCAAAGCCAGCCTGTAGCCCAGGTGCACATCCTGTGTCAGAGGCAGGAGATTGGTATCGACCCTGACCCTAAGGCCTGGCCGTGACGATCCGAGGGATGAAACGCATCGCAAAGCCCCAGGATCTACGCAACTTGGAGAAGCGCAAGTCAGAGCACTCGCTGCTCCTCGAGTCGACTACTCTGCTTCAATCAGCCAGCAGGGAGGCCTAATCTCAGCACCAAATTCAGCCTTTCCAACCAGGGAAGATACAAATTAATGGGCATTCAAAGATACCTAATTCTTAGTCCCACCTATATCCCAAGCTTAACAAAGAGAACCACCAATCAATCCATACACAAAAGCCACCCAGCTTGACCACCAAATAGCTACGAGAACACTCTAAAACCCCTGCTGCCGATGCCACTTGTCCTGCCACCCCTTGAACCACGGACTATCCTCCAGAGTCGCCACCTCCCACCCCCTAGGAACCAGACCACTCTCCTCCTGCTCTTGGGCCCATTTCTCTAAATTTGGCAGAACCACATGCTCTACATGCCATGTCCCCTTGTACTCCATCAGATTCTTCTTCCCGTGTTTCAGGACCGTCGCCGCGAGCGCGGGCACCCCCGGCTCGTCGCGGAACTCGGTGACGGGGGTGAACAGCGCCTTGAAGTTGAAGACCACGGCCGCCGACAGCGGCAGCCGCCGCAGCGTCTGCCAGTCGACGCGGAGGTTGCAGTCCTCCAATTTCAGGGCCGGGTCCTGGGACAGCCGCAATGCCTCGTGCGGATCGCCTTGGGGCATGTACAGGGGTTCGCCCACCTCCAGACCCCAGGACCCGCGCTGGATCGGCTTATCGGCGGGCATCTTGGTGAAGAACCTACACCAAAATCAACATTAGCCTTATCTTAGCAACGCAACCCCTTCTTCATTTAAATCCCCTCCCCCGAAGCAACAAGAGATCAACCCACCGATCCATCGAAAACCGCATCTTCTCCTTATAATCCGGAATCGTCGCATGGATCTCATGCAGCTGCATCCCGATCTTCTTGCCGACATTCCAGCCCAACGAGGAGCAGACGACGCCGGCCCGCAGGAAGTAGTACCCCGTGGTCTCGTCGCGCAGCATGATGCCGAAATCCTCGGGGATGTGGTCGATGAGCACCTCGAGCGGGGGGCGGGCGGTGACATCCTCCGTGACGCCGAGGATGCGGTTGTGGAGGATGCGGCGGTCCTCGAGGGCGAAATACTGCGGGTAGCGCGCGCACACGAACTGCAGCACCATCTCCATCAGCTCCTTGCAGGCCAGCTCGGCGCCCGGCAGCGCGCCCAGCACGCCGCTGCCGTGCTGCGCGTACAGGGCGCGGCGCTGCGCGATCCGCGCGCGGTACGTGCTCTCGAGCTCGATCCACCAGTCGGTTTCCATCTTCGTGAGCGCTGCGCCGTATCACAGGAGGGTTAACGTTCATCCCAGTCACTAGGTTAGAGGGGACATACACATGGTCTGATGGTACGCCCAGCGGAACGGCCGATAGGGCCGGGGCCGGGCCCGGTCGATGTCGAAGTCCGGGTACGGCTGCGGCAGGGGCACGCCGCTGAGGGTCGCGTAGTCCGGGAAGTTGCCGAGGGCTTTGAGCTCGGCGACCGAGAAGCCCGTCGGGGTGTAGCGTCTGTCGGGGCTGGCCCGGAAGTCGGCCGTCATGGGTAGCATGTGCTGCTTGATTTCGGCCTCGTCGATGATTTGGTAGGGGACGGCGAGCGGGAGCGCGGCCAGGGCCTGGCGGCGCGGCGGCGGCAGGGCGTCCACGTAGGACGGTCCCTCGTTGGAGGCGGCTTGTTTCTCGTTCGACACCGGCGAGGGCTGTCGTGTGCCGCGGTCTGGTTGTGTATAGCTGCGCAGTTGCTGCATGAAGGAGTTGCTGCTGCTGTTGCCCTGCAGTTTGTCCACCACAAGATATGCCCCCGAGAGAGCGACCATGAGGAGGCCGAGCAGCCATAGATTGCTCTGGTCAAACATCGTTCCCATAGTTCAACCCCTTTGTCTCATCGGTAGTGTTTCAATAAATCCGGAGCTAGATTCTACCAGCGTTGTGTACCGCTACCTGCTATGTCGTAGAGTAGACAGGGTGGACAAGGTAGACAGGGTAGATGGACAGGTAAACCTCATCCCGGACGCACCGACACTTTAAAGGTGAATCAACCATAGAGACAGCAAACGCCCACTACCGACCTCATATCACAGCGGAAGGGGGAAGGGGACATGTATGTATGTAACGAGCGACTCGTTTCGATCTACCGTTTTCGGCCAGACCGGGTAGTGGTGATCAGCATGCAAAGGGCGTTTTACTGTGTTGGGTGCGCGAACGCAGAGATGATAAGGCGCGGGGAGCAGCACGGGCATGCATGACATCTTGGTCTGGTCTGGGTTGATTTGATAGGGAACAGTGGTGGATGTGAATGTACAGGACAGCCCAGGTTGGATGGTTGAGGCAGGGCATGCAGCCTGCGATGATTGGACGAGATGATTTGCCGGGCTGGGCTTTATCTACAGTATCAGATATCTATGGCCCATGAATGGGTGTACTGTATCGTCAGTCTAGCAGGTTACATGTTACTGGAGGTAGATCAGGCTGCTTATCAGCTCTACCTAGCTGTCGCTTCACCGCGAGACCGCAGCTCTATGCAGTGACTATACAACCCTTGCACCACAGCCCACCGCACTGTAAGCCCCACACCACACACAGTATCCCCGTCCATCGACCGAGTGACCCAGCATGTCCTTGTAGACAGACAGACAGACACCAGATAGCAACCAACTCAACCCCGACTCCGCCGTTATCACAGCGGAATGCGGGGGAACCCAACAAGATAGGCACCTACATACAGTGACTGGGTATCTACCACCGCAGACCACAAATCAAGAGAGACAAAATCCCGCTTCTGCCAGATTGGCACCGAGTCCATACATGGCCCAGAGTGGTGCAGTGCAGTGTCTGGATCAATTGGACCGAAGAGGAAAACCCGAGTCCTGCCTGCGGTTGCCTCCGCATTTCCTGGAAGGGTAAAGCTATCCCGGCTGGAAGGGTGGTGGTCATGTGCTAGGTTGCTGACTGGTGCGTGCAGCTGTGGCTTGCACATTCAGGGCATATACATCGGTATGCACTATGTGGCATGGCATGGCATAGCATATTTTTTTGACAATGGGTGGTCGTGAACTTGTGCAGTTAGAGGGATACGTAGAATTGTACTATGTATGTAACCATCAATCTCACCCCCCCATAAGCACAAACAGCAGTAAACCAAATCTACTTCATATAACTCAACTCCCCAAACCAACACCAACCACAGCCCCAACCAGACCCAAATCTTAGCAAGCAAGGCAAGACACGCCCAAACCCCAACAGTCAAACAACCCCCGCTACAAAAACAAGAAGCATATCTAAACCCCTGCTATATCTATTCCAACAGAAAAAAAAAAAAAAAAAAAAAGGAAATCAGTATGAACGTCGATAAGGAAAGAGACGCATATGTGGAGGGGGGCAAAAAAAAAAAAAAAAAAGGAAGGTCATCTCGCAAACCACAGAGCGAGGAGCGGATCCAACCCCCAAAACCCTGGGTCGACCGTCTAGAGATCTAAAACGAACTCTATGCTTAATGAATCATCCGCACAACACAACACCGGAAAGCTATCCACAATCCACAATCCACAATCAACATCAACCATGACATCATCTCTATAACCTGACAACGATCGTGAGGAAAAGATCGGGGTGGCGAGGGAGAAAGCGAGATGCCATGCAGGTACCCGCTTCTTTTCTCCCAGCTCGGTCTCATACGGGGGGATTGGAAAGTGTGATGTATGAGTCTGCACTTGTACTTGTGTATTGAGTGAGAAGGATGGCCCCGTCCACGTACAAATCTCAAAAACTTTTGGCTATCCGAGTGCGTGGGCGGGGGGGCGGGGCGGAAATGTGGAAATGGGAATGTGGGCATCTGGAAATCCAATTCTCGCGTGCCTGGGACGAGGGAGAAAAGAGCCGGCCAGTGAGTGCAGTGGCAATGTTTTGCTGGAAGACACTCCAGGAACCGCACACAGTATCATTAAACTGTCGTCATTGTTTCAATTCGAAATTACTCATACATGATCCAGGGGTGGAACGGATGTACCCGCTCAACAGGTGTTTTCAACCACAGACAGTATATTTCACGATGATTTATATCAAATAATCGACCTCAGGTCCATACATCGAGACTAAAGTAATTACATGGTGGCGGGAGATTACAGGTCCATTGGGTGGTGCATGGTGCGCAGCACAGCTTCCACCGGCCAATCGACAAAAGTCGGAAACAATGCCATTTTCAAGGTGTGCACAGAGGGCCGCAGGAAGAAAAACAACGGTTCAGGTACAGCTTAGCTTAGCTTTGACACTGACAGAAAACGGTAAGAAACATTGGAACAGTTTGATAGTAGAGAAAAAAAAAAAAGGCAAACAGGACTCTGCTAATCTATTAGAGTATGTACTGCAGCCTGTGCTGGTGGCACAGGTCCTGTGTCGATATACACGAACTTCGACCATTGAAATGGTGAGGATAGGTTGTAAAGGGTGGGATCCAGGGGGTGGGAGAAAGGAGTTGTGGTTGTCGACATCAAGGCGGACAGTTGATGGGTAGGCCTGCATGCACTGCACTGCACTGCGACGCTAAAGCGACCGTGAGTCCTTCCTCCGGACCCAGGGCAAACAAGAATGCCTGTCTGTGTGAGGTTGTGTTTGGTCGCTGGGGATGTTATCCTCCTCTCGAGTCTCTCTCTCCCCTTTCCCCCTTTCTCCGATCGAGGTTCATGGCGTCATCGGTCAAAATTACATGACGCGTAGATGATCGAGGAGAAAGAGGGGGTGCAGTGCAGTCGGTCGGTTGGCCGACTTGGTTGGCTGGCTGGTCAAGTAAAAGTGAGCTGGCTGGGAAAAAGCGGGGTTCAGTCGGCGGAAAAGGGGAGAAATAGCGAGGAACCGGGTGGTTGGTTGGTCGGTGGCTGAGATGGTGTAGTGGGTCGGGGTCGGGTTTGTCGCGCACTCGAGCTCATCATCATCTCCCAAGGCAGTCGAATAAAATGTGTGGAAATGTCGAGAGGATTATGTGACAAATGGGTATCATAACACCGCTGTTTTCGCCGAAACACGCAAATCGAAAATTGACATGGACATAGGAGAGCGCAAATGCAATAGAAACAAACGCAAGGAGACGGAAGTGGTCGGTATTCAAGACTTCATTTAGTCCGGGTTCGTGAGCTGGGATTATCGTTAGCCTGAGACATAGGATCATCTGGACAAAACACATGACTGACCCGTAGGACAGGACGAGAATAGTCCTCGTTGTCTTGCAGCGATGCATCGCTGTCACGACGACCATTGGCAAACAGGACGGTATCGGTCTTCATGCGGTTGTCCGTGAACGTTGGCAAACGGTGGGCGGCGATCGACGATCCGGCCGATAGCGTATGACTATGGTTATCGGAAAACATGCCCTTCATGAAACTCATCTGTGAGCCTTTGCTTTGTCTTCCGTCCAGTAGGATGTTCTGTACACTTGGATCAGGGCTGCTCGCACGCTGCTTGCGTTTCGCGAAGAAAAGAACAAATATCAGAGCAATGATTGCAAGGGCACCACCGATGGATCCCACCACAATACCAGCAATCGTTCCCGAGCTCATGCCCGAGCTGCTAGTGGACTTGGACGACGTGCCCGTACTGGACGCCGTTGCGGTCGGCTGTGGTGCTGCAAGAGTGACCGTCTTGACCGTACCCCCGGCATTGGTCTCGGTCGACACAGTCTGGCCAGTAGTTGTAGTGGCAGCTGATGTCGTAGAAGACGATTGCGTCGACGATGTCTAAGAGAAGTCAGTACCTGTGCGGTGGTATTGTTGACATCGACTGTCTCTTCAAATCGCGACTCGTCAAGGATGCGCCGTTACAATCTCGTCAAAAGCCATCTTGACCGAGTACGATGTGGTCCCTAGCGATTTCACATGATCGAACTGGGTTCCAATCGAGCCCTGTAATGCGCATCCTCACAAGTGCGGCAACAAAGATTCCGGCCAAGAGATTTACTGACCGACGTTGATGTGGTTGAAGTTGAAGAGACGGTCGCGGTGCCCGAAGGCTGGTTACCGACGACTTCGACGTAGGCATACAGGCCCTTAGAAGTGCTTCCACAGCTGTCATCCGGGTATCCGGGACAATCTTGGCTGCATTTCGAGTTGTTCACGTTGGTTGCAGAATTCGGAGCAATGTTCGAACACCAGCAGTCGTAGCCTTGCAGGATACCGAACGCATAGGAACTGCAATGATCCTCGCAGAGACCGTTGGACTGGAACGTACTCTCATCTATAAACGGTCAGAACCGAGCCGAAAGCTGCCATGAGCGAAGACGTACTTGCGGCTTGGGAAGAACCCGTGTTCACGGACGAACAGTAGGTGATAGATGAAGAGACCGACACTGGCCAGGCGAGTAAGGCGATCGCCCCGAGCAGTGACGGGAGCACAAAGTGAGCCCGCATGGCAGGCAACGATCTCACCAACAGTTGAGATGCTGGGAATCAAATCCTCGAATGCAGGTGAAGTATCGTACGTGAAGTCGTCTTTGAGGCGGTGGCTGATACTGCGAACAACCAGACTGAGTGAAGTTTTCGAGACGGATAGACGGCGACCTCCTTATTCGAGTCGACTGGTCCGAAAGGTATCACAGGCTGCAGTCACCACACCTTCCAATCACCCGATCGGTCGGTCTGAAGAAATTGCTGGCAGATTCCTCAAAGTTGAAGAATGTTATGCGCAAGGCCCGTGCCGAGATCGGGGACGACCTAGAGCTTCCACACTTGCTGGTCGGATCGGTGTCCCGCCAAAGATTCCTTGTGGGCTTGGTTGAAGGTAAAAGTAGCTAATGTCGATCAGCCACCAACTCCAGCGGCCACATCGAGCACTGATACCTACCAGGGATTTGACAAAACGATGGCTCCGGGTCAAATTGAGACAACGAGAGGCAGTGGAAACTCGGCGAGCAATTGAAGAGGGCGTTTTACAAGCGAAAGGATGCAAAGCCAGAGATTGAGGGGAGCGGAGGGGGGAGGAGAGAATCGAAGGTACAAGAATTCAAGGCGACACCGGTAGGATTAGCAGATTATCGGCATCGTCACCTCCGAACAGGGGAGGGGGGTGTGGGAGTGAATGGCTTGCTAGGCAAGGAACAGAGAGATCGTATGGAGCCGGAAAGACAGCGCAGATAAGGAAGAAACAGAGAACAAACGAAGCGATCGTGTTAGTTGATGAACTAGCTCACTTAGAGTCTAGAAAGAGAACAAGAGAACAAGAGGGAAAGAGTGAGAGTGAGAGAGTAAGAGAAAGTGAGAAAAGCAAGAAAAGCAAGAAAAGCACGAAAGCAAAGCAAGTTGTAACTAAACAGATGGGGAGAGTTGGTTTGATTGACTGCTCTGGGTAAGGAAGACGAACTAGTCCAGTACCCGTACTGCTGCTGCTGCTGCTTTGCTGCAGCAAGAGGAGCGGCACCGTAGGAGCGGCGGGCGTCGTAGTTACTGACTTAGTCCTTCGTCCTTCGTCTTTAGTCCTTAGTCCGAGTCTTAGTCTTAGTCTTAGTCTTAGTCTTACCGGAGCCTTAGTGGTACTCATGTAAGAACCAGGATGGGACCAGATCCGGCTCAGTCCCGATGTTCCACCTGAGCAGCCAGTGATCACGCTAGAATTGGTGTTGTTATGTACATAGTACGTAGTATAAACTGGACTTTAGACACTCGTAGATAATCAAGCACTACTGACACCACGAAAGGGCAATTGGAAACAGTTCATGGTGATGTCTCTGGTCGAATCGCCTGCATACAATAACTTACATTCTCGTGTACTTTGAAGTATGGGGAATACTGAATAGCAAAATGACCATGAGAAGGGAAAAAAAAAAAAAAAAAAAAAAACCACAACACCAAAAAAAGAATAGGTAAAAAAAAAACAAGAGGCAGAAAGAATAAAAATAAAAATCCGGCTTACCCGCTTGGGAGTGGGGCCCTGCAGGCTACATTCGGGTTTAGTGGCTTCACCAACGTCGGGACCATACGCGTCTTTGCTGGTACGGAGCATTAAGGCAATCTCCTCGATTCATAGACACCCGGAAGTACGGAGTGCTAAGCACTAAGTTGAGACTATCGTGAGTTGGTGCTAGGTTACCACGGATGGAATGGTTGATCTCCGCCTTGATATGAAAAACAACAATCCCCATCTATAGAATCATCATTATCGCTCACTGACTGACTGACTGACTGACTGACACTGACAGTGAGCGATCTCGAGATTAGACTCAGGCCGAAGATAGAGAAGTATCTGGAACCATTGACTCCCGCCCCCAGTACCGTGCAGTGGACACCTTGGATACCACTCACTCCCCCCCCCCCCGTCGTACCTTACCTATCTGGTATCCATCGGCCTACATCCAGACGTGGACCGAATCCAAATTCCGATCTGCTAGGAGTCCTCAACAGAATGCTTACGATACGGCGCCACCGCAATTGGACCTACTGCGGAGGGAGGTGGGAGAAAAAAAAGGAAAGGCAGGAAAGGCAGCAAATGGACCACAAGCGGTGATAAAGGGGGGGCCGAAAGGGTCAATGACGACAACAGCAGAACAGCAACAGCATCTGAACAAAAAGGAATGAAGCAATGCTCGATCGTTAACTATAACTTCACCATACTGACCATCCAAACAATCACACAACTGGTGAGGCGCAGTCCGGCCAGACACCCCCCCGTAAAGTGGCAGCGAGCACAGCAGCCCACCAAGCAAACCTCGATGTTTATTCGGCACAGGTCCAGTCACTAGCTGCATGACAAAGTGCGATAGATCCTTGTTCTGAAACATCATCCTGGGAGTGGGAGAGGGCGATGGGGGCGGCCGCGATCCTCGGTGCCAATTTTCCTCCTTCCTTTTTCCTTTTGGACCTTCTTACCGAACACCGACAATACTTCCGTCTTATTGGGGAAGATTTTCATTTGCGAATTTATTCTCTCGGCCTGCGTGCGTCACTCTGTCTGACACAGGCTAGGCGAGAGACGGCGGACGGGCAGCGGGGAGTACGTAAAGTACGGACAGTACGTACGTACGAACAGTACAAATTGCATGGGAAGGAGAGAAAGTGGAAGGGCGATGGATCTGCCGGGGTCAGCCACTTTTGTACCCGAGCCAAGTTATTCAGCGTTTGAGAACAGGCCACGGACGCAGATCCGGGGCTGTCAATTGGTGGGAGCTGATCAGGCACTGCGCGGCCTACTTGACTGCTTGCTTGGTCGGGATTGATGACTTTCTCTCGTTGTTTGGGAAGTTCAGGGCTGACTCGGTAGATCGATGTAGGCTGTGTGCAGTTGGAAGAACCGAGCTTGGAGGAACGTAGTAAATTGGAGTAAAATGTCAACAAACAGAAAGAGTACCTAGTGGAGTGTTGTTGCCTGAGAGCTGACCGCACAGAAGGTCTTCCCGTGTTCCCAGTAAACGGTGACTGACGCCCGGGCCGATGGTGGCCTTCCCAGGAAAGAAAGAGGTAACGACCACGGTATTGGCACGGCAGTTTTAGTATTATTATTGCATTGTTATTTGCGCTGCACTGCACCACTTGCTGCAGCACTCGCCACCGCACAGGACAGCTGCTGGTCTTAGAATCTGCGCCGGTGGAGTCGCAGCCCAGGCGAGACAAGACGGAACACCGTGGTCTAGAAGGGATCGGAGCTGACCAGAGGTGAGCTGTCCGCGTATGATGTATGAGGATGGTATTATATTGTGGGCTGGGGATGCTCGAGGGGGCTGGAACCGGCGGGAAAGAACTCCAGTAGTATCTAGACTCTCGGATGGATCTTCAGTGCCTTGAGGAGTTGATGGGGAGAACCACGTCTTGGTTAAACTCACTGGAAGCATCCATGAAGGACTCGAACCAGGACTCGAACGAGCGACCGTGGGTGTGTGCCCGTGGGTGTGGACTGTGGAGCGAGGTGATGATGGGGGGTTGGTTTGCAGCCGGTCAGTCCCGTTGACACCCAAGGAAATCACCGTCCAGCGCATTCCAAGGTTCGATTATCCTCGTGTCAAGCCCCAGGCACAGCGTACTATTGGAGCACGTCGGCGGAGACGACAGCCAGACAAGCTTCGGCTATCTCCAGGCCAGGTGCTAGGTACAATATGGGCGCATCATGATTACGTGGGACTGGGGGATTTTGTTGGCTATGGTGACGGAGAAGACAACTTCCGACCGGGACATTCAAGGCTCAAGACTTTACTGTACAGTACACAGTAACTACCTCGATGATATTCCGGGATGGCTGGCTGGCTGGCTGAGGAGTTCATCCCTCGGAACTTCCAAAGGATCCCACCGTGCATTAACTTCCCATTGTTGTGTGCACATGCAGCTATATCCCTGGAGGTGCGCCCTACTACTGTACGCACCATCTACATAGTCCTCCGTACAGTACGTAGACTTCGTGCAGGGCTGCGTATCAGCCAATCCATGGCGGGTTATCAAATCTACCCCATTTCTGGGCACATGCACCGGCGCAGAGCTAAGAGAGTTGATGACGACAATACTGGAGCTGTGCTCTTCCGAGATCCCGTCCTTAGGTCTGCGAAAAAAATCTCCAGATCTCCAGTGTTGTTATGGCCCTCGCTTCTGAAGCAGACGACCAGCACTAAGTTAACTGCCCGCAGTATCAGCCGTCGGGCGAAATCCTCAAACATCAACCATCAAAACAAGAGAAGGCAACAAAACCAACAAGACAGGAAATGAACGAGGGACAGAAGAAGTTTGCGGGAGCTACGGCTCTCCCGCGGATGAAACACGCCCCAAGAGGATGACAGTGGCACTGACAAGAGAGAAGAAAACCTAATTGACTTCCGTATAGCACCACCTCCATCATCAACATGTGGCTGGTGCGAGACGCTGGTTTACTGGACTCATGGTACTCCGTACTGTCCGAAGATCTGCCAGCCATCTACCGAGTACATACTGTGTACACAGTATGCCTGTACGGGGAATCTCGATACAGGCACACTTCACCTCACCTAGAAGTCAGTTAGACGATCCCTCCCAGACCGAGTAACCCACGCCCCCAATCCGAAACACCGCCAGCGAGGCGACTGAGAAGTGGCTGAATGGGGGAGGAGAGGGGGGAATGAAAAGTGGACAAGGATTGGATTAGTCAGTCCCTCACACGCCGATCACTCTCATCCCTCAATCTTAGGAGTGAGTATAAGCGAAAGGAGAGAGGGAGAGAAGGCATAAGGCGTAGTTACGATTCAGGCGAACATCCCTCACAACAACTCCAAATAACCCTTAAGTTAATCCAACTCAACTGAAGAGAAATCAATTCCTCCCGGGGCCAAAGGACCAAAGGATCCAATCCCACTCTACAAGTACCGCAGTGTCTATTTCCATCTCAGCATTGACAACATCACCAAAATAGAATGGAAATGATCATAATGCCCATCAACTAATCCCACAATCCCATGATCAAAGAGCTCGGCTCCTGCCACGACGGTAAGGCGAAAAAATAGCAGCCACCGACAGAAAGTCATCGGATAGTGTCTCTCATCGGCCCCTCCCCCTTTGTGGGACACTTTTAATCTGCTCTAGTGGCTTGTAAGTTAATCCACCGGCTTACTGGGCTTTGCTCCTAATTTTGGGAATCGGTAAATACTATGTATGTACGGGCTGTCAAGGACTGGATTAAGTGACTGGGTATTGAACGGAGTGGATTAGTAATGTGGGATGCTCAATCTGAGAGAGGCTTCGAATTGAGGGAGAATTGGGGTTCTCGACACATTGATGTGATGTGTAGTAAGTTACCCCGTACTCCGTAAGGGAAAGGCACGGAGAGCCGACGCTGGGAATGATTTCTCGTCCTCCCTGTTTCATTCATTCTCCATTGCTCTTAGACTTCGAGCCCTTCAGTCTAATAGAGCTGAGCAAGACTGTCCACGCGAGAGTAGACTGAAACATCAAGTTGGTCGGGATCTCAGCTGACAGGCCTGACAGGCCACCGCTCGATCTGTCAGATGGAAGGCTCCGTGTTTGTCGTCGGGTACTCCAAAATTATGTATTCAGGCCCGGCGCCGATTTGTCCTGTGACCTATCATCAGATGTTCACTGTAACATGATACGAGATGGAGGAAGACAAGTCATACCGATGATGCTTGAACCAGTCGTTGTAACTAAGCTCAAGAAACCATTGCGAAAAGGGGTCAGATGCCGGGTCTAGCGGTCATTAGACTGTGAAGCAGACGTCGAGGTTGAAGTGGTGAAATAGCATAAGTGACCTGGTGCAGTGCACAGCGCAGTAGACCGATCCAATTCGGCTGCGTCTAAGTAATGTCTTGGAGCGTAGTTTGATATATGTGTTTGGCTCCAAACATAGAGGACTGATCCCAAGAGATTTAAGGCCAACCGATCACATTGATCCTCACCAACTGCAAACCAAAATTCATTCGGGGTATCACACATGAAATGTCAATGCAATCACGGACACATGCGCAGCAGCCTTTCCACTCATGTGCTGCTTCTGCTGCTTCTGTAACAAGACACTTATCACCATCGCTCCGCCCGAGGCGGTGGTGGCCTCCAGCGTCCTCCTTCTGCAACCCTCTCGCGCTCCGTACGTCGTCGTTCCTCTCGAGGAAGGCGTGGAGGTGGGCTGTCCAGCAGTAGGGGGCCGGCCTTGTCCGTAGCTGATGCAGGCGGTGGCGGCGGGTGAGGCACAGGAGCTGTGGGAGGAGGCAACGAGGTTCGCTCGCGGTGGATCTCCTGGACCCGGCGGCGGCGTGCGCGGCGAATGTCTTCCGAATGCTCAATCAGTGCATCCACTTGCTCCTATGCGAAAGCAGTCAGCTAGGGGTTCACAGTGACGCGGCAACGCGGGAGTTCGTCCGCACCTTCTCCAGGTAGGTAAAGATGAAGTACGACGTTTCGGTCTCCTCATACTCATAGCCCGCCCGTTCGAGGGCTTCCTTCACGACCAAATCCCTCGTGATCTCAGTCCAGAGGCGCTCGCGATGGTCCTTGACACCGACAAACCGTCTTCCTATCCTACCAAACTGACGGCTTGAGTCCTCGTCGGACTGTCGGGGCTCGCCAAAGCCACGCTTTGTATCCCGATCAGGGTATCGCAACGCATCAGTGTCCGGTGGAGCTCTGTCGTATTTCGCTCGGGGGATTGGCCCGACAATCTCGATTTGTTCCTTTTCCTTGAAAGACCTTTTCCTCGGTAATGGCTGATGGCCTGGAGGCATATAACAGTCATCTTCAACGAATTCTTCTTCCTTGAAGGAATCGTGGCTACCGTCGCGGCGCACCACAGTAAGCACTTCCTTTTCGCGCTCAGCAAACTTCGGTTCTGGGGGAACGAGAGGAAGGCCGTCTTTCGAACGTCGGTAAGGGTCTGGATGCGGTGGAGGGTGACTGCCCCTTTTCTTGGGTCGAATTATAGGTATCTCACTCCTATCCAGTCGTCCTCTGGACCTCTCACTGCCCAAACATTAGCTGCATACTCGAATGATGAAGAGCGACGCGGGGACAGACCGACGGTGGGTCTCAGACTCGTAAACGAGATCTGAATTAGACAGCCGAGGGCGATGAATCTTTTGGTGATCTGAGTCCAAGTCAGCGCAAATAGCCAGGTCAGGGAAGCCAGAGCATAGTACCCTCATAGACATGCCTATCCGAGAAGATAGGATATCTCTTCGGCGACGGTAGTCGAGACCTTTCCATCTCCGACGAAGACCGTCGGATCTCCTCTTCCTCCTCGACCACATCTCCGGCGCGCCTGCGCTCCCTATACTTCCGGCGGAAGACCTCCTCTTTGTCCACTTCCTCGTCGCGCTCACCGTCCGCATCTTCGAGATCCCTGTGTCGGTGATGGCGGTGCTTGTGTCGTGTTCGTGTAGCAGTAGCATAGACCGGTCCGCTGCTGCGATTCCGCTCGTAGTGCCGCTTCAGCAGCAACTCGTCCTGCTCCAATTTTGGGTTGCGAAGAATCCCCCTCGGAGGCTCCTTGAGATCTGCACTTCGTGACAAGTGGCCGTGTTTCGGCCTCCCGTGCCTTCCTACAATGACCATATCATCTTCCTCCTCTTCCGTATCACTCTCCTCGAGACTACTGCTCTCCGATTCGGAGGAGGAACTTGCTTCCTCTTCCTCTTCCTCTTCTTCCTCCTCCAGAACAAACCTCTCCTTCTCCAAATCAACCCCGCGATACCTCGGCCTTCCCCGCCGATCCCTCTCCTTCTCGAACCCCCGCGTCCTCTCTCTCGGTTCAAGAGCCTCTCGCACCGGCCGGCGCACAGGCTTCACCACCTTGAGCTCCTCCCTCTCCCTCTCCCTCACGAGCTGCGGCGCAACCGGCGGCGCCGGGGCCACAGGGATCCTCATCTCCGGGCCCCGGGCTCTCTCGTCCCGCAGACGCATCCGTTCGAACTTCTCGACCGGCACGGGCATCGGCGGTCCTGATGTTGGTGGAGGCGGGGGCGGCGGTACTCGTCGGTCGTACCGGAGTTCCTCCTCTTTTTCTTTGAAGTGTCGGCGTCGATCTCGCCCTCTGTTGTGACGGGAGTACGGATCGCGCTCGCGGCCGTAAATATCCTCTTCGATGGCGTCGTGGGCGTGAAATCTTCGTGGCATTGTGGAAGACTTGATTCTTTGGGTACTGGGAGGGGCTTGATTCGTGTATGAGAGAGTTGACTAGGATTGCAGCGTTGATTCAATTAGGTCGAGGGAAGCTATCTACACGGCGTGTGACAGGGAGATAGTTATCGGGAACGAGCTGGTGGGTGGGTGGGTGTCTGTTTGGGGGCGGGTCTCAGGGGTTTATGTTTGGCTTCATTAGGCGATGCGATTGTATTGTGGTGAGGATGATGGTAGGTGAGGATGATACGTTGGTGGAAGTGAAGGAGGGAGTAGCTGCGGCTGTGGCTGTGACTCTTCTAGCTGGAGGGGTTGTTTGTTGGGTTGGGCTGTGCGGGGTTTCTGTATGGGTGCAGGAGGGGAGCGATAACTCGTATTTGAGATTGATTTGAGAGTTCAGCAGCAATGGAGAGTTTGCTGCTGGGGTCATGACGAGTAGACCATTTTGTTAGTTAGGAAGGCAAAATGAGGATACTGATAACGATGACGGTGAAGAGCTCGGAGGTAGTGTTGTTGTCGCTGGAAAGGTACTGTTGCACACACACATCACATCACATCAGTTGGATTGTTAGCCAAAAACGCAAATAACCCCGCGGCTGTGATCGGCTGATGTCATGCTGCAGTGGGCTGCCCCGTCGATCCCAGGCTCGCTCGCACTCGTGACTAGATTCATGCGACTCGAGTGTGATCTGGAGTGGCGTAGTGGTGTAAGTACAAAATATGTAGGTCTGCTCCTGATATCAAGAGTGTTTATTTGGGATGGTAGATGTTGGAGTCAAAGATATAGAGTGGGCTCACAGTGGACCATGGTTGACGCTCCCGCCTGGGACCCGAAGTTTATATAATGACGGGCGCTCTCCTCGATTACATACTTACACTGCCACAGGCTGTAAAGAACATGTAGAAAGACTTGGCTTCGAAAGATATGGAGCTCTAAGTTGCTGACAGAATTCTAGTTCAGTAGGTAGCAGAATCACAAAAGATCAGGCATGGATTATGATACGTAGTTCCTTGTTCCGAGTCTATATAACACCAAAAAGACGAGCTGCATGTGTTGTAGTATGTCCATGGCGGCGCTCTTGACAATGCAATCCGGGGTCAATGAAAAGACCGAAGGTTATGCGACGTCACTACCAAGACCATTCTAGCGTGTTTGCTACTGCTCTGGATAGTGACTCGAAAGATGGTTGAACAGCCGGCGATGGGCTGTCCCTGGTCTATTCGTTGGCCGTCCGTCAAGTGGCGTTGGCTAGAAATGCTGCCACAAAGTATCATTCAACACTCTTTCTTTATGAAGTCGCAGCTAATGAGCTTCATGGGCCATTCAATCTCCTCAAAACCTTTCAGGACATTGCCAAGCCAATGTATAGCGATCTACCCAAAATTTAAGCGGGTCTGTCCCTTTTCGGGCTTACCACGACCACTACGACCACCCCGGCTACGTGAGTGAGATGCTCCAAGGTTAGGTGATGATGCTTGAGTCTGCGGGGAGCTTCGAGTGGCCTGGTTCTCTTGGTTTACCAAGTCCTTGGCGAAGTGCCAGTCGTCATGCTCAGCTTTCTCATGCTCAGGCAATGACTTGCCGCATCGACTGCAGGAATAGTAAGATAGAGCGGCAGCGGAATCACGTGCATCGTCATCTGGCGGAGTATCCCTAGCAGCTTGTTCAACCTCTGAGCTGTTTAATGCGTCAGCTAGGCTTGTTTCAGTCGCGTCAATCTCCGAGGGCTTAACGAAGAACCGTCGAATACCGTTGGGTTCTGTCTTCAGACGCTTCTCGCTCGGTTGTTGAGCATCCATCAAATCGTCGCTCGACAAGGACCGAGTATTCTGTGCAGACTTCGCCTGCTCCCCTCGAAGGAGAAAGGAGTCGATTGCCTTGTTTTTGGATACCCCGTCCTCGAACCCACCAACGCTCAGAGAAAGGTTTGCACAGGGCCATGCGCGCCCGTCGACAATGACTTGTCGGAAAAGCGTCGAGCCAAGGCTGAAGAGCAGATCCTCATCAATTGGCGATGCCCCTGGAATTGGGATCTGTCGTGACCGGACCTGCGCGCCCTGCCTATGATGCAAAGCCACTGTTTTCGGGCGACGCTTGTGTTCCAACATGCCATCCTCAACGAGACGACCATAGATATCAGCTGCGAAGATGCGCAGCCACTTCTCCGCTTGGTCGAGATTGTTAATGCTCGGTCGGAACGACTTAGCCGAGAGCATGGACTTGATCTGCGTTCGAGAGTTGACTTCACTTCGATCGTCGCCTCGAATGATACCGTACAGCCATGTGGCGGTATCATCATCCAGCTTGGCTCGGAGTTGTTCCAACGGGATCTTCAACAGATCACTCACCTGCTCTGTTCCAAACATGGCAGTGACTTGATCCCCGAGTTTGCCTCCGAGCATCCTGATTTTCGTGAACTTGAAACCTCCCAGGAAGTTCTGAACCGCACGATTCCGGATTATCGTCTGCTTATTGGGCTTGTTGCAAGCGCTTCCAAGCTTTGCCATCATCTTGTTCCTTGCAATTCCCCCCGAGCAGGTATAACCAAGATTGTCCCAAACAGTTTTGCGGACCGCGCGCACAACCTCCGCCCCGATCAAAATGGCAATGTCGTCCCAGTCCGGGTCATCCACTTCCGTCTCATTTTCATCAAGATCGACCAAGCAATCTTCAGCGTTCCATGCCAATGCAGTCGTAGGCGGGGTAGGCAGTCGCGCAACCCGATCATCGATATGTGGCCCGGCGCGCAGTTCAGGGTACCGCTTAAGCAAGATGCCATATACAATAGGCGACAAGTCCATGAACACTTCGTCAACGCTGGCTTTCTCAAGACCAGGTTGCGGTACGGACGCGCCTGCGAGGCCCTCGCTGCATATCTTCGCATGCCAGCGGGCCAGTTCCTCCTTCATCACCTTGAGGATCTTGCGTGACTCCGCCCGATATGGATCCAAGCACACTTTATCCGAGCCCACCCGCTTGAAAGCGTCGTCGCGGTAAGCCCATTTCCCACCCTCACCCTCTCGGAAGGTTGCAACATGCTGCAGGACAATGTCGGGACAGAGCTTCTTGGCTTCACCAGCGGAGATCATCCTCGTAATCCCGAAGGAGCGGGCTGGATAATTGATGGCGATAAGCGAGTCCCATTGTTGCACGGCGAGGGGCACGTCGCGCGGCGTGCCCAGCCGCACCATCTCGCATTGGGCGTAAAAGGCATCGAGATCCACGTGCGCGATCACGCGAAGAGGCGTCGCCGTCGACCCTTGCCTAAGAAGCTGGAGTTGGCGATAAGTGAACTGAGACTCGGGCCTCAAGGAATTGCTGGACGAAAAAGTCGGTTCCGGGGAAGAGCGTGACATGGCGAATAGAACAGTGTCATGGCGGACTGAGGGGCGATGGCTGTACGCCGGAAAGTCGAAAATGAGACGTATTGCGTCGAGTCAGAGCTCTATAGATGATCCATGAAGATACACGCGCGTGTCGTGGGACCTGGATACCCAGGCTGGTTGGTGATTGAAGTGCGTTGGAGGGGAAGGTCGAGAACTCGGGGCCGGGCCAGAAGATCTCGCTTCCCAAAGAAGTTAGCGCCATCATGAAGCCGTCGCCTTAGTCTTAAGGTTCAAATTCGTGGATGCCTCGCCAGCAGTACGAAGAATGGAATCAGGAGATGCTCGACGCACACTGACCATATTGTCAAGCTCAGAAGACTCGAAGTGACCCAGAGGCATAGATTGAGCGCTGGCTTGCCTTCACAATACACAGTCTACACATACCGGCGGACATTGTTCGGTGAGAGCCCAAACTTGCGTTGGGTAGGTAAGTGCTTGAGACAATATCCATTACTTGCTGCCAGTTGGGATTAATTTTGCGTGCAAAGGTGATCATATCACTCCGTATAATCCGATTTTACCAACTTGAGGAAACAGGCACGCTAACTTTCGATGCAAGCCGAGGCAACTGCAATGCCTAAAGTAAACTGATGCCCAGCGGATATACGGAATAGAGTTGACTGTATGTACAGTACAGTACATCATAACCACAGGCCAGAGAAAATAGCCATGATATCATGTCATGCCGAGTCACGGAGGATATGCGTACTCAATGTTCAATGAGCTCATAATGTAAGGCTAGGACTCGGACGATATGCGGCTTCACCGACTGTCATTGTATGAATATCGTTTTTGCGACCGCAGCAAAGTGCAATAGGCCAGAGGGCACTCTACCCCTACATGAAGGTGCAGCCGTTCGGCCGACGATGCACTGCTGTAGCTGCAAGATCTTTCAATGGCTCTGATTCAAGAATCCTGCTCGGGCTAGGTTGTAGGCGAAGAATGCAATCTTACCACAGCACGCTCCCGAGTCGAGCTAATAGCAAGCATCAGTATACACAGTAGACTCTGGTGGAGTGAGACGGCCTCTGATTCGGGTTGATTATTGCATAACATGTTCCAACAAGAGGAGACCATCAGATCATGACCAGTCAGTCACCGGTCAAAATGACACGGTTGATGCAGGCGTTATGGAGACCATGCGGCAGGGAAGACACCTGGATCGATATTATTCGAGCATATGAATGGGTCCAAAACTTGAAGATCTCACCGCCGTGCAGATGACGGAACAGCTTCTGTGGGAGATGCATGTGAGGCCTTGCACATTAGTCTATGAGCAACATAGTGATCGTGACCCTTGAACTCAGACGCTGTTGAGCTTTGTTCGCCACGGCTGAGGAAGGAGGGTGAAAGCCGCGCGAAGCAGAGTAGAATCCCATAAGAAGCTTGTGAGGGTGACGAACAGGGTAGGCCACTCTTGTAGCAGAAATGGGCTTCGAGACCACCCGGTCGGTCATCATAGTCAGTTGGGTGAAATAGAGATTGTGATTATGCAGCAGGCCGAGTGTGGGCGCTGCCGATTGTGTTCCTGGGAAATAGTTCGCTGCACGAGGGCTGCAAATATGGAGACGATGGTGCTGGATTATTCGAGACTTTCTAGAAAAGGGAATTAACTTGACTTTGGGTGTGTCTGTACTTTCATGGCCTGTCAATTGGGTGTGATTCGCCTTGCGACCTTGGTAGGTCCATACTGTCTTGACTGTTGGATTCTCAGAATCTTGTGTACGTCCTAAGAAGAGGGCTGCAGTGCAACCCACTGTCGCAGTTCCACAGGTACTGCACATTGAGCCCCGACTAGCGGCCCGAGCAGAGGTTTAGTCACTTTAGCCACTTTAGCGAGGCCAGTCCGTCGCTCACGGAATGCGCCAAATGGGGAATCCGGGGCCAATCTGGCGTCGGGATAGGCTGCAGAGTCGCAGACGGGATTAGTGCCCCAGGCCATAACGGGTGGATGGGTGAGTGGGTGAGTGGGTGAGTGCCCAAGCCGCCACACGCATTCCTGCCCAACCTGTGTTCATATCTCAAACCCTGACCAGCGACAGGCTGGTGACTGTGTCCAATCTCATCTGGAGAATCATTGCGTCTCCGACTGGAAAGAAGGAAGTGTCTAAGAGCATGAAGATTTCAGAGTCCGGAGTACCTATACTTCATTGATCTAGTGATTTTGGAGGGGATCAATGCCAATCCATAAAACCCTGCTTAGATGCAGATGGCCCTGTACTTTTGTTGCCCTGTTAGGTGTTTCCGTGGCCAGCTCTGCCCTATACTGGTGCTCGTACCTAGACACCAAGAGTGCGAGTTATGGCAGGCTTATAGAATGAAGAGTCATATTCTTTTCTTGCAAAATGTGCGATCATGAATGATGCAGCTTTTGTTGTGCAACACGCAGTTTCGAGGATTGTAGCAGACGTACAGTACATACTTTACTTGTTCATCTTGCAAGCACTAGCAGCTGGCAACAAATAGCTTTGACTGGGTGGTTTTTTGGCCACCCGAAGTATGAGTAGACTATCTTGTGCCAGGGGTGTGCTCTGCGATACTTCTATCTTTGTTTGGTTGGTTGGTTGGTTGATCACCTCGGCGGACTTCGCTTGCTGACTCATCGGATCAACTCGCGTCATTTGTAATCAATCTTTGACCTGGATTAAAATGACGATCCAGTGGACAGCCAGATCAGCATGACTTTGGTACTCAATACCATGAATCCATGCTCAGTCTGATGCTTGGTCTGACAACGCCACTCATGGATAATGGGGACTTTTTCTTGGGTCATCTAATCTTCCCCATCGGGAGTCTCCCCCCGGTCCACCAGGAGAGGACAGCTCCGCGGGTGAACCATGGCTCAGAGCAACATATTGCTCAGGGACAATCAGGTACAAGGATGGATGTATGTAGGGATGTATGTATGTATGCTGTTGACGGAACTGGCTGAGATGCAACGACTAAGTTACCACCCTCTAGCTCTTAATTGATCGTGAAAGCAAGTAATGAGTCGAGGCAGCAGCAAAGAAGAAATCAGAAGAGATCATAGTCACGGCATTTGGTCAGTTGGCCCTCCCAAGAGGGTTCCAGTTCGGATGAGGATCGTCATAGCCAGCGAATTATAATCATTCAACAGCAAGCCGCACGGGTAGGGGCAGGAAAATCGTCTGCACCCAATATCCAACCACTGCCTCAGGATGAGAGGCGTTGACGCCCTAAGAGTCAATGCAAGTTTCTAGGGGGGGGTCGGGGTGGGAAAGCAGAGTCATCTCTTGCTCATCATGGGTTGATAATGTTAATGTGAAAGGAAGAAAAACTACGGAGTACTATTACCTTTCCTCTTCTACTCCGTACTGGGGAGGGAGGGGTGCGAAAAGGCAAAAAAGAAGAAAGAAGTTAAAGGTGGAAGAGAGTCGGAGGGTCTAGTTGGTGGAGTCAGTCGTGGCACCAGACAATGGCCAGGCAGCCCAAAAGCCGGCCCAACAACCCAATCCAATCCACTCACAGGCGCCCTCTTCTCAGTCACGAAGTTCCCTTTCCACCTGCCTGTCTATTCCAGTTGCTTGCTCCCCTCACTCTTTCTCTCTCTCTAATCTTGCGTGTGTGTGTGTGTGTGTGTGTGTCTGCGCCCCCTCCCGTCCCTCCTCCCTCTTTCTCTCTCTAGCCTAGCCTAGTCTGTAAAGCTCCTCCCCTCCCTCCTCTTTCTCTTTCTCTTTACGCTTTCTCATTTTCTCCTCTCCCTTTTCCCTTTTCCCTTTTCTTTTTTCGCCTCTCAACTGGAAAAGGTTTCTTCTCTCTTATCTTCTCCCCCCCCGTCTGTCTTACTTTTCCCTTCCCTCTCCTCCCCTTTAGCTCTTCTTCTCTTTCTTCTCTCTTCCCTCTCCCATCTTCCCATCCCCCAACCTCCTTACCCCCTCCCCCTCCACCACCACCATCCTCTCACCTTTGTTTCCTGACATTACTCCGTCAGTGTAAAGGGTTTACGAGTTTGTGTAAGGGTGTGTCTTGAAAGACATCAAGAGAAATAAGAAGAAGAAGACAGCCACTTCTTCCCGCAGGAATTTGAAAAGAGCAAGATCATTTGCAACCTTTTTTTCATCCTGCTGCCAGTGACCTCACAACCTCGGACCGTGATCAATCAACGACCTCGCTCCGATCCACACAGCTGCCTCGTTTGGACCTTTGCCTATAACTTGACTGTCTCTTCCCATTTCTGGTTCACTTTTAATGCACAAAGTGACCTGAAGCGTGTCAAATCATTCTTCACAACTGCCCTGGATACACACATCAAGCGCCCATTCCGGATTTGTTTCTTTTCTTCACGCCGGAAATAAAGCCAGATATACCACTGTGGGAACTCAACTTCGTCTCGTCTCGTGTTCTGCATTTGTGCCCGTGTCAACCAAGAATCGGATTAGCCTTCATTTCTCAGCCTTGGATTCCCTGGACACAGCCTTTTAGAACATACTTCGTTCGGTTTCTTGTTTCCAAGCAACCCAAGAGACTACCTACCAACCGTCATCTTCCTCTGGACCCGTCGGCTATTCCTTACTCTCCTGGATCTCCTTTGGCCACTTGGACCCGTTGACTATAATTTAATAACTGGAAACCGTTTATCCCTGGACAAGATGACTGGCCGTCATGGATTTGAAGGACGCCCGGAGCGTCAGAACGAATATTTCATTCCCGGTGATGGTATCAGTCGGGAAGTCATCCAAGCAGATATTTGCCGTTATCTCGGGAATGATGCTCTCGTAAGACCTGGAAACCACAATGTTTGTTCCCCAATGTTCTTGTACTTTGCACCATGTCATGACACGACTGATGGCAGAAGCTATCTCTGAAAACATAAGACTGACACAAATGAGCAGGGTCGCCAAGGCTACTTCATTCGAGCCTACCGCAATCTCACCTCTGTATGTTCTCGCACAAGCGTGTCGCAGCGGTCACCATCCACCATGTACAATTCAACTGACTATTCATGCAGGAAATGATTGCTGATCTCAAAGCCGACTCTGCTCGGTGGGAGGCAGACGTTTCACGCCGAATGGACCAAGGCAATCCCAGAGGTAGCTACGCACACGACTACAGTTATTCCCAGGCGCCTAACATCTCTCCCGCAACCTATCCAGCCACGACCATCCATGAAGGACGTCAACAAGGAGGCCCCTCACCCCCACCAGCCTACACAGCACCCCCTCCGGCACCCCAACAGTTTGTGGACCCATATGTTCAACCCCCGTACGCGGCGACTCAGAGTCCTCCGTACCCTACTCCATCATCCTACCCTGCAAACCATTCACCCTTTGCAACTGGCCAGGCCCCCTACCCTCCTGCGCAAATCCCATACTCTGCTCCTAGTCAACCTGCGGTTTCTGCCGACATACATCCTTCATACACATACGGCACAGGGTATGGATATGAAAATGGGAGGAACAATGCTCCACGCTACCCTGGGCCGGCAACGTATGAGGCCGAACAGGACTACTCCCCGGTAACTTCCGGAATAGCATACCCTCCCACTACAGCCGCGGACCCGAGGATTGGAATGGATCCCAGATACACTCCTGAGTCGACGTATCCAGACCGCAATAGGCCCCAGCCGACAAGAGAAAGCCAAGCTCCTCGCCGAACCCGGTGACGGCATAAACTCCATTCCATGCTAGTGAGCTTAGGCGAGGACCACAATTCTCATTGTGTTATAATGACGGCCTCATCACCCTGGAAACTGCAGGCATTTCCAGATTTACGCTCCGATAGTAGAGCAGTCTGAGGAACAATCCTCTTACATTTCATAGCCTTACTGGAACATCAGACCAGGAAAAAAAAAGCGTGCATGACTTTGGGAATCCGAATTGCGGAGCCAGACATTTGGAGTACTGGATACTGTTCGACCTGGATACCACTCATATATTTATTTTATCGACTTTTGAAGCGTGCTCAACATCATCGCTCACGTTGGCTCGTGTTGCAGCTAACCTGCTTTCAATGACAAGCTGGGACGCTTGGTAATTGGAATCTGAAGATTGGCCCGAATTTCATCGTGTTCGGTTATGAGGAGGCTTTATGGCTTATCTTTCTCTGCAATGCCGGCGCTGGCTGTCTTGAATCTCCTTTCTGTGCTGGGTTGTTCTTCTTTTGCGTCGTGTGGTTGTTTTTTCTGGTGAATAGGCTGTGGCCCCTTGATTTCTGTTGCTTTCGTCCTTCCTGTTTTCAAGGACTGCAGGGATTAGTTTTTACGATGTCTTGAGTTCGGCGAAGAGCACCGACTGATTTTCCACGGCATCGGCTAGGATCTTCGATGATATACGGTGATGCTGTCCACGAGCTATATGTAGATATGAGCATACACGGCGTTAATCTCTGGTTTCTCAATGGTTGTTCCCTGGGTCCGACAGTGATGGTTCCAGTTTTGTTTGATAATTGATCTATATTCTACTGAACTCTGTGAAATTATATCATTCTCAAATCTGTCTCTCCTGTCCCCTATCCCGCAGCCTGCCCAACCAGCGCGGCTATTTTGTTGTTGTGTGCATCTGCCCTAGAAATTCGGTGTGCGGACCATCAGTGATTGTCCCAATCCCTTGGAGTGACGTCTGCAAGCCTTCTCTAAGACTGGGTCTCATAAATACCCACACATCCTTTCAGAGGAACAAAGACTTGTTAGCCCTGCTATCAGAACTTCACTGACGCTATTTACCGCAGTTCTTGACACCTAACCGCGGTTCTTGATATCTCCGACTAAGCTAAACAGTTCGCCGACTAAGCGAAAGACTGATGATGTCGTGCTATCAGGAACCCAGGAGTTTCAAAGGCGCATTCACTGCAGTTCTTAATGTTGCCGACCAGGCAAAAGACTGATGATGTCGTTCGTCAATTGTTATCCTGTTTTCACCTCCATGTTGAAATCCCAGCTCGGTGTTTTTTCATAGCCTCACGTCCTCTCATCTGAAACAGATCCGGGTTGTGCGTTGCTTTACGGAAACAGTACCTATTCCGCAAGCGTTGTTGCAACATGTGTGCGTCGGAGTTTCTACCTTTTGACGGAGACATCAAAATATCTGTACCGCCTGAAGTGTACAGACTTCACTCTCATGTGGTTGCTAGGCGCTCCGGTACACTCAATCGGGCAATAGAGCACGCACGAGAAAATGCTCATCCGTGCACTGACCCGGTTCTCATTGAGATGGACCTCGTCGTGGTTCCTGCAGCTGACCGCAGGTATGGCCGGCTGGAAATCGAGGTAACTTTTTACAGATTTGGTATATCATGATGTAGTTCATGCTGACTGACAGGTTCCCAGGCCGTCGCCGGAGTACCGCAGCGCGCACAGCCTGCCGACCTTCTTTCTCCAAAGCTCCGCAAGATCTGGGGCAATCTGATCAAGAGCCTGAGTGGTCAGACGCCTTTCTTGAAGCCTCACAACCCCGACTTGCCAGGATTGGCAATTCGCCCAGATCCGGATGAGGAGCCTGACGATATACTCCACAATTCCAAGGCCCTCATTACCCTGGCCGAGGAGCTCGAAGCCACCCAGACTGTGTTCTCAGCTCTGGAAGACGCTTTTGTGGACCTTGGTCACGATCTTGGGGAAGCGGTGGCCGAGGACCCGATCCAGTGGCTGTGCATCTCCATGACTCTTCGGGAATCTTGGATCTTCAAGGACGCAGCCTGCCATGTGGTCGGCAAATGGCACAATCTGGAACCGGAGGTGAAGATGTCTATCCCCGAGGCCGCCCGCCGCGTCTGCCAGAGCTACAGTGACGAGCTCGTCCAACGCTGTAAAGCTGTCGAGGATTTCTTCATGACCGTCGAGTTTGAGCCCCTGGAGAATCCGGGCTCATCTGACCTGCTGGGCTTGAGCCCGCATATGTGGGTGGCACTCACTCGGTTCCGAGAATGGGTGTATGTCAATATCAGCTTGGCAAACGGCTTCCGTGGCGAAGATGGAGGCTTCAATTTCTATCGCTACATGTATAACGAGGACGACGAGTACGATGAAGATTGGGTCCCCTATCTTATGGAAGACGACTGCCCCCAGGAGGATGTCGACGAGATTCATGGATATTTGCACAGGCTCAGGGAATTCTGTGAGGAGGAGGTGGAGCCGCTCTTGGAGTCCAATGTTAGCCACTCGACTGGCCGATACTTGACTTGCACCGAGATCAAGGATGAGGACATTCCCTGGGATGATGATGAATGAGCATTGCCATCCGGCATTTGTGCTATTAGCTTTCATTCTCTCAAGCGTCTTCTACACCAACATGGACAGCTTGGCTCGCACTTCATCTCGATACCCCGCCATCGCCACCGCCTATCAGTTAATTTATCAATGTTTAATGTTCAACGTCTCTCCGGCGTTGTTTTTTTCTTGCTTTCCTTTCACCACTACAATGCTTGTCAACTTGGAGATCAGTGACCCGAGTACCTGCCAATCCTTCATTGCGTCTCTCCCTTGGCATTTCCTTTATTTCTACCGACATGGGATTTGGTTCAGGCACCGTGTTGAAACAAACTCGATATTGGTCTTGCTTGTTCTTCTACAAAGGTTGACCCTGATATCAGTTTCCCCCTACGGTGTGTTACTACCTTTTTCTTTGGCATCGTACATATCACCTTCTTGACATCTGACATAATGAGCAGTGGTATCTGGAATTCTAAGCCAGTCACTACACCAGGATCAGGTCTTTCTTTTTCAGGACCAGAACTTGAGAAGAGACATGCTTGGAGAGTCCTAATGACACACTCTGTGGCCGGGAGTCCAAGTTGGTGCTTATCTTTGAATGTTCGGCCGTGAGTTGGCGAATAATAACATCTTGTACAATAAAAAAAAGCTTTGCTTGAACAAGACAACCCTCAATCTCCCTGCTCAGTAGGGCATCTTCTCATGTACAGTACATTGTAACGCTCACACCCACTATGTCTAGCAAGCCATGGGGGGCACCCAACCAATAAACGAGGCGGGAATGGATGCTGACATCGGGTTGAGGAAGCTCCGTCATCGCCAGACCAGAGATCCCGTGTTATGCCCCTCGACAAGCTTGCCTAGACTGTCCAACTGAGCCTCACATGGCGCGTTCACGTTGCTGACATCTCCTTGGCCGCGATGGCATTCTCACTCCCCCTCTCGAATCGCTTGCTTGAGACCTAAAACCTAGCTAATGATGACAGACCCCGGACTCAAAACCTCGGAAATTGGAAGAAGAAAACGGAAACGGTATTGCATTGCTGTTGTATCTTGTGTGTTATATGGGAAATTTACTCGTCATCGTAACCCTGCGGGATGACCCGGGGACCGGCGGGGACTTTGAGGAAGACGTTAGTGAGCAAGGGAAACCATAAGCTTCAAATTCTGGAATGCACAGAATCTGCTCCCAATGGCTGAGGGATCGTCCTTACTGGGATATGTCAAGGGGACAGGCTCGGGGTCGTAGGAGCCGAAGTAGCGTCTGATCGGGGGAATGGTCACCAATGCGACCGGACCCATGGAGCCGATGACGAGGGAGTAGAAGATGGCGGGCTTCTCGTGGGCGGCCCAGCGCATGTAGCGGAAAGGAGTCGACCAGAACTGAGGAGCAGACATGATTGCGATGGATGGATAGCTCGGTGTGGGATCGGAGAAAGGGTTTTTTTCCTGGTCGGTGCTTGGAAGCCGACGGGCGTGGGTGGCAGGTGGAAGGGTTCGGAGAAATTGACCGGCGTTCTTGAATAGGTCAATTGATATGGGAGATCGTAGAAAGACCGACGGCGAGATCTTCCAGACTCTAGCGGAGAGGTGGTAATCGGGCAAATGCGACTGGGAGAGGGGAGCGACGGGAACGATGAGGAGAGGTCGAAAGTGACGACAAGCCGAAAGTGGATGCGGCGGTTCCAATGGAGAAGAGTGAGTCTTGGCACTCGGTCCAAACACGTCGCCCGTTCGTCTACGCCGGCGTACGTACTACTACTTGCTATCACGATATTTGATGGGTTGACACTGCATTGGACTTTTTCTCCTTGACATCTTCCCCACTTCTTTCTTTTGCGCCAGGAGCTGGCTCTTCTTTCCTCCCCCCTCTCCCCCGTAACTCACCTGTCGTTTGTTCGTCCGCGCCGCTGTGCGGATCCATTGCATAATGCGGTGGTGTCTTTCCTTCTTCCTCTTCGGCTTCCTGGCCGTGGTGAATGCGCTCAGTAGTTCCGGCAACCGTCTCTTGGTTGTCTTGGAGGATGCCTCCGAGAAGGGTCTCTATTCCACACTCTGGAGTGATCTGAAGGGTATGTGTCTCTTATTAAGTGTGTATGAAGCAATTGATACTGATAATGCTGAATTCAAGCTCGTGGATATGACATCGCCTTCGAATCTCCCAAGAGTGACCAGCTCTCGCTGTTCGAGCTCGGCGAGAGAGCTTACGACCACCTCCTCCTTCTTCCTCCCAAGTCCAAAGGTTAGACATTGGTTTTTACTGTTTACTACAACAGTTGCAATTGAGCATCCGATTGACCTGCTGCTCTAGGATTCGGACCTTCTCTTAGCCCCAAGAACATCGTCGACTTCCTGAACAAGGACGGCAACGTCCTCCTCGCTCTCTCTGGCAAATCCACCACTCCTAGCGCCATCAGCTCGCTTCTTTTGGAGCTCGACCTCCATCTGTCGACGGACCGCTCCTCGATTGTCGTCGACCACTTCAACTATGATACCCTCTCCGCCGCTGAGAAGCACGACGTTCTGCTCCTGCAGCGCCCCGGCCAGTTGAGACCCGACACCAAGTCTTACTTCGATGGTGAAGGCGTCTTGGCACTCCCCAGAGCTGCTCCTCACACTCTCGGCGACAATATCCTTGCTGCGCCTATTCTGCGTGCCCCCGTCACCGCCTACAGCTACAACCCCAAGGAGGAAGCCGCTGCTGTTGAGGACATCTGGGCCACCGGTTCCCAGCTCTCTCTCATCTCGACCCTGCAGACCCGCAGCTCCTCTCGCTTCACCCTGCTGGGCTCCGCGGAGAGTCTCCAGGACAAGTGGTTCACCGCCACCGTCCAGGCACCCGGCAGCGGCGAGGAGACCAAGACGGTCAACCAGGATTTCGCCAAGCAGTTGACTGCCTGGACCTTCAAGGAGACTGGAGTGCTCAAGGTTGGAAAGATCGAGCACCATCTCGCTCAGGATGATCTCACTGCCGAGGACTTGAACCCCACCATCTACCGGGTCAAGAACGAGACTGTAGGTTCTGTTAACCCCGGGCAGACAAGATTCTATACTAACATATCAACAGGTCTTCAGCATTGAAATCTCCGAGTACAGCTACGACAAGTTCGTGCCCTTCGAACTGCCCGCCGAAGATGCCCTCCAGCTCGAGTTCACCATGCTCTCCCCCTTCCACCGCCTGAAGCTGGAGCCTGCCTACCGCACCGAGAACAGCACCGTCTTCCGCACTCAGTTCACTGTCCCCGATCAGCACGGTATCTTCTCGTTCCGCGTGAACTACAAGCGTCCGTTCCTCACCACCATCGAGGAGAAGCACGAGGTGACGGTGCGCCACTTCGCCCACAACGAGTTCCCGCGCAGCTGGGAGATCAGCGGCGGGTGGGTTTGGATCGCTGGACTGTGGTCTGTCATCGGGGGCTTCATGGCTTTCGTGGCTGTGTGGCTCTACTCGGAGCCGGCCTCGGCTCAGGTCAAGAAGAACCAGTGATTGTAATTTATCTAGATGTCCAGTCAATGACAGTTTTCGTACATTATATCTGTCACAATATTTCCTTTCGCCCCACAACGTGTCCGCCGTACGTCCCCCAAGCCTACAAGTAGGGTTGTAGAGAATGCTCGCAAGAGCTTCTTTCAAAGTATGTACAGTACAATAGTCCAGAACGTAGTCCTGGAGTAATCACATGAGAGGAGGGAAAGCACAATCCCATATATTCTTCCAATCAACTCCAAAACCATGCCAGTGCAGATGAACAGCAACAAAGAGTAAAATGAATAGAGCGAAGCAGTCAAGCTCCGAGGAGAGAAAGTGGTATAACGCAAAACAAACGTTACGAATGCCAAGATGGAGCCGGGGGATTGTTGTTCTTGATGACAACTTGCCCGCGTCCACAGGTGACACCTATCATTTCTTTTCCCTCGTCACAGACCTCGCGTCTTCTCGGGATCCATCTTCACCTCATCTCCGCTGATCTCCTTGACCGACTCGAACGCCGGCTTGCCAGCATACAACTGCTGGGACTTGTTGGAGCTTCCCCCCTCGAGTTCGGTCGATACCGAGATGGGCTGGTTCCCGCGGAATCGCTTGCGCATGTCGATCAAGCCGCGTCTGTTTGGCGTTGCGGAAAAAGGTTGTGGGTTAGCCTGTGAAATGACAAAGTCCAGGAAGATGGATAGAGTCGATTCTTGGTGGTTGGGATCACTCACTTGCACTCGCTAAAGCCCTTCCGCAGCTGCTGGCATCGCATCGGGAGCTGGTCGACGTGAGGGTCACTGAGACACTCCCGCGGGGTGTGTCGTTGGACCATGATGCAGTCGGATTCTTGGAGGCATTGCGCCAGTGCGTTCCCTATTTCAGCAGGAGAAGGTCTGTTAGAACAGAGGGCGACAATGGTGTGAGTGTAATGCTATGAGGGCTATTTCGAAGTTGTCCTCTATCTCCGACCACGAATGCTGGATCGCGGGTGCGCGCGCAAGCCGGTACAACTCCCGCCGCGAGAGGCATTGGGGGAAAAGTTGAGGAGAGCGTGACTCACTGATATCCTGACAGGAAGCCGGCATTGTGAATTGAGTTGGCCTGACTGCTCGAACAAGAAGGTCTCCAACCGCACTGCAGCGAAAGAACGGGCAATCTGATGATCATCTGCGGCCGGCAAACTCGACGCTCGGAGTGCCCTCGTCTCTCCCCCGGATTAGGTAAGCATCACATGAAGAAGCGGCCGCCCGCCTGCCACCCCCTCCAGCATGACGTCTGGGACGAGGAACGGACCCCTGTGATTGAACTCCCCTTTCTAGGAGGCGGGTTGTATCCTTGCTGCCTTCACTCAATGATGAGACTCTTGACTCGACGCGCTATGAGCTACGATAACCCGCATACACATTGAGTCTCTCTTTCTATCTTCTGTTCATTCTCCCTACAGTGCGGTGAAACTTGGCTGCGATCATGGCGCGCGTACCGGTTATTGGGAGGCTGTTTTGGTTTGAGTATCTGGCGCTTTTTGGGTCGCTGATCCTGGTGTTGTTGGAATGGGTGATACATATCATCACTTTCTGTCTGCGTAAGTGAATCTGGGTTGATGTTGATTTGCTGGGGGTCGGGCACTGACTGGATACAGCTGAACCTGTCATTCGGTTCTGCTACGATCGGTCAAAGACAATCTTCAACCTCCTGATCCCTCCCGGGGAGGACCTTGACAAACGTGAGAATGAGGAGAAGGTCGCTGCGGCCGTGGCGCAGGCGTCCGATTTTACAGACATTTGCGCTCTGTTTGGATACCAGGCGGAGGAGCACATCGTTCAGACTGGAGACGGCTACTTGCTCGGCCTCCACCGTCTCTCCTCTCGCAAGGGCGAGGAAGGGAAACGGATCAACCAGGGCGAAGGGAGCATCAAGAAGAAGATTGTCTACCTTCACCATGGGTTGATGATGTGCAGTGAGGTTTGGGTCTGCTTGTCGGAGGAACAGCGATGCCTGCCCTTTCAACTGGTAGAGCGCGGCTACGATGTGTGGCTTGGGAATAATCGCGGCAACAAGTACTCCAAGAAGTCTGTCAAGCACTCTCCGTTGACGAACGAGTTCTGGGATTTCTCCATCGACCAATTCTCCTTTCATGATATCCCCGATAGCATTCGATACATTCTCGACGTGACAGAGCAACCGTCCTTATCATATGTTGGCTTCTCTCAAGGCACAGCGCAGGCTTTTGCGACTCTCTCCATCCACCCGCTCCTGAATCAGAAGATTGATGTCTTCGTGGCTCTCGCACCCGCGATGGCCCCAACGGGCCTGCCGAACCACGTAGTAGACTCGTTGATGAAGGCCTCGCCCAACTTCCTGTTCCTGCTGTTTGGCAGACGCAGCATCCTCAGCTCCACCACTATGTGGCAGACCATTCTTTACCCCCCAATTTTTGTTTGGATCATTGACACGTCACTTCGCGGCCTCTTCAACTGGAGATGCAAGAATATTAGTCGCTGGCAAAAGCTCGCGGGGTACCTGCACTTGTTTTCTTTTACAAGCACCAAGTCGGTCGTGCACTGGTTCCAAATCATCCGACACCGGAACTTCCAGTTCTACGATGACGAGATCCACGCTCCGCTGAGCATTGTGGCGAGCGAGCGCTTCTACAAGCCGGTCAAGTACCCGACCAAGAACATCAAAACCCCTATCGTCCTGCTGTACGGCGGAAGTGACAGCCTGGTCGACATCAACGTCATGCTATCCGAACTACCCAGTGGGACCATGGCCAAGGAGATCCCGGAGTACGAGCATCTGGACTTCCTGTGGGCCCATGATGTGAACCGGCGAGTCTTCAGTCATGTGTTTGACGCGCTGGACAAGTACAGCCGCAAGGGGAAGGATCAGGTCAATGGTGTCAAGGAGGTGGCAGGATCCGACTACT